TGATGTGTAATTCAGCTATGTGTAGACTGATAGTCGCCATAAAGTTCATGTAGCAGGCAATCAATATGGCGTGTGTGGGGACTTCAATCTAAATAGCTGAGATGGCCATATTTCCGAGTGTATAACTACCAGGCAAAGAAAGTTACCACCGTCTTCACTTGACAAAAAAAATCGACACAAAGACGTATGTGAGATTTATGATAAAACTTTTACAAACAGAAGTCATTTTCCAATAATTTGACTGAAAATTCATTGTAAAGCTTTCTTGCATTTGCCGCAATTCATTAAGAAAGTGTCAAAGGGTCAAAATTACAATTACACAAATCAAGTTCATTCAAAAAGTGCATAAAGAGTCACATAAGAGGATAGGAGTCATGGGACACGACATCAGTAGCGAGAAGCGAGTGTGACCACCCTGGGCATCCATACACGCCTTATTGACGTTGTCAGTCGGTGGATGACGACAGCAGGAATCCTGCTCCATAAGTCCAAGAGAGTCTGTACACGTCACTGTCGGTTCGCTGGAGGTACACGCTCTCTCAGCAGACGATCATATGATCCCAGAAGTGTTCAATGGGGTTAATGTATGGAGAACGCACTGGCCAAGACAACACGTTGACGTTAACGCTGTGCAGGTATTCTCGAGCAATTCTGGCGGTGTGGGGTTTTGCGTTGTCCTGCTGCAAAATGACTCCTCGTGGCTGTTGTCGAATACAGGGCACCGCATAAGGTATCAACACTTCATCCCTGTATCGCTGGTCATTCGCGTTTCCTCGGATGATAACCTCTTTTTGTCCTCTGGGCACAAATGCCGCCCCGTACCATGACGCCTGCTCAATCGAGTGGATGAACTTATTGAACGCAGTTTGGCGCCAGTCGCTCTCCTCTACGTTGAAAACCTCGAACTCTGCTATCGTTTCTGAACAGGCTGAACAGACTTTCATGTCTTAAGAGCACTCACACTCCCAGTAACGTTCGTGTCCATTGCAGTGTGCGTGGACGGTGTAGGTTATTTCACGAAAGAGACGGTAGGCTCGTATACCAGCCATACCAAGGTCTGTTCGTCTGCCGATGGCGTATCCTAGTGCTGTCGTCGCCGTCACGAATCTGTTCCGGAGGTGGATCTGCCGGATATAGCGATCTTCGGCCGGTGCCGTGACTCTTGGTGTTCCCGATCTTGGGCGGTCTTGGGTCTGTCTGTTTGCTGGTAGCGGTCTATCAATTTACTGATAGGTGATTGGCCACAGTGAGAGTAAAATACTACATGTATGAACATTGCCACCACTCATGAGCTACAGTCATTGGACATAAGTATTCGTCACTTTTACAGCATTTCCATAGACTTACATGTTAATTTGGTGCAGCTTAGAAAATTGTCTATAATTTATTTTTCGTTTGATCTCGTTCATAGTTTGCACTTGTGTCATGTAATCGTTTGATCTCGTTCATAGTTTTCAGTATTTCAAGAATGACCACACTTTGATTGATGCGTTTCATGGGTATGACATTTTTAACATGGCGGTCTATGGGAAAAGAATACGCAATGTTGTGTATATGTAGCCCATGTAACTACACTGCAGAAAATACATGAAGGAACATTACATGGAAATTATGTTTCTGTGACTAAGATGATTTCCTAACAACCTGCCAAATTTGACAACCAAATAACGAAACACTGAATTAATGAAAATTATTACAGCTACAGTAAAATAGCATGCAAGTCTATGACAATTTTGCCGATTGACGAATACTTATGTCCCATGTCTGTAGCTGTGTAAACTGCCAGTGTATGGACCCGTGAAGATCCGGGTTACAATAATGTTCCCGGCGGCCACGGCAGCCAAACGGGGACAAACAGGATGGACGTGGGAGACAACGTAGGGTGACTGAATGAGCTCACGTGACATTCCGTGATTGCCGTGGATGCCGTGCCAGATTTGTAAACTGTTAAATTTTGCCACGGCAGTCACGGTAATAATGTGAAACCTAGTGGGCCGTAGTAAAACGGAGGGAACGTAACAAGACGTGACAGCACGTAATAAGCCGTAACCGACCTAGTATACGATCCGTAGTGGGACGGGAGGCATGTGGCCGTATTCCACGGCATCCTCGCATGGTCCTTTCAAGTTTTGTCACGTTCGCCCACGTTTGTTTGGCATTTTGTCTCGGTTGTTTCACCCCCTTAAGCTGCCCGTTTTGACCCTGTTCAGACGGCAAGCTTAATCCAGTTGTATGGTAGCCGATTCGTCCTGTTCTACCACGACGCATCCAGGCGTGTGTGACGGTTTACAGGGCAGGCGAGATACGGCATCGTTGCGTTCTATGGTATTCCCTCTCTGCAGCTGATGCTGGCCTTCTCGATGTATGCCTTCAGCAAACAGACAAACACAAAATCTTCTTCATCTTTGCGGTTCATGCTGCTCTTTGTGTCTCAGGATACAATGGCCGCTATTCCTTGTGAGGCCTTATTTTTATACCGTGGGCAATACAAACATGGTCCAAAGCTGGCCGGCGTCCACGTTTCATCCGTAGAAAGTCTTGACAGAACGCACAAAACGATGTCAAAACCTTGATCAAAACGTGAGAAACGCGAGGGAACCCATCAGAACGCGCGTTAAGGACAGGAGGAAACATAATGGCATCTTTGTAGTGGACTGCTGCTGGCCTAACCGTAGAGCGCCTTTAAGCTTCCAGGACTCAGGATACCGTGATAAACCGTGAGAAAACTTGGCAGGACTCTAACAAAACTTGACTTTGGAGGAAAGAAATGGCCTAAAATCGCATCGGTGCACTACGTTTCGGAGAAACGGCTGCCGCGGCCGCCAGGAACATAGCGTAACCTAAGCATTAGAATTGGTCGTCAGCAACCCATGCTTTGTCGTAAAGAGGCGACTAACGACTACAGGTGGTCAGAACTTCCGATGACTTTGCTGGCGCAAGTCATCGTATTCCAATTGCGTTGATCCTCATGCTGTTGAAGTCCGAATTGTCTGGTCCAGACTCAATATTGCTGAGTGCGTCGCTAAACAACCAATCAACCATTAGGATGTATTCAATCAATGCAGTACGGCGGGTAGCTCATGCGGTACACAGCAAGTGACAAATGTCTCGCCATATAGCTGGAATATTGCTGAGTGCGGCGTTAAGCAACAAACATACTCGATGCAAATGGATACCGTGGTAACATGAAGCAGTCTTTGGTACATCTTGTTTGCTGACATGCTACATGTATGTGTACGACAACTCTCGAGGAATTACTATTCACAGGACCAGGTTTGTCACAAATGCAAACCATATATAGTTTCTGGCAATTGTTAACCCATTTCCTGAAATCATGCATATTTCGAGGCCAAATATATTTTTCATTGTTTATTAAAATCCAGTTTTCATCATTTTCAAGCCGTCGCTGACATTCTCCTTTTAATTTAAGTAAGCTGGTTTTGTATATAAATGTGAATCAAAACAAATAATGTCAAGAATAGAAAATAAATCTATAATTCATATTTTGTGTGAAAACAAAGAGACAATATGTAACATGTAATACGGGGAGTACTATGCAGTAATTTGACGTCAAACAATGCAAAATGGTGTATACTGTATAGCTGGAAGCAAATGTTGAAATATGCTACATCTGTCACACAATCATATTTGATGCCACTTGTCTCATATTCGATAATACAGTCATGTGTTGATGCTTGCTGCCTGAAAACCGACACAATTCTGCATATCCAGCAATATATACCAACAAAACAAACACAGAGGCATGGAGACCTGAAGTCTCTGGGCAATGGGCAAGTCAAAATATTTATGTGTAATCATTAACGTTGCGTACAAACTAGTAAGCATGAATATTTTTGATATAACAAACTGTAGGCTAAACCACGATGCTGCACTGGCGTTTGGGCTAACGTGCCACCGGGTGTTCTGGAGATTACCAATGAAGCTTTTGGGCCGCCTCGCTGAAGCTCCTAGGGTGCCAGAGCTTTTACCATCATGCATTTGGACCAACTATTGCACCAGAGTTTACCATTTTGCATTTTGGCCAATTGTAGTACCTCGGTTACCAGAGCCTTCCATCATGCATTTCGGAATACGTGGGTAACCGGCGCCTAACATCTTTTCATTTGGACCAACTGTGGCAAGAGAGTTTACCATATTGTATTTGGGCCCATTGTAGTGCCTCGGTTGCCTTTCATTATGCATTTTGGATATGTGGGTAACCGGCGCCTAACATCTTTCTCATCTGGACCAACTGTGGCACCAGAGTTTACCGTTTTGTATTTTGGGCCCATTGTAGTACCTCGGTTACCAGAGCCTTCCATCATGCATTTTAGATACGTGGGTAACCGGCGCCTAACATCTTTCTCATCTGGACCAACTGTGGCACCAGAGTTTACCGTTTTGTATTTGGGCCCATTGTAGTGCCTAGGTTACCAAAGCCTACCATCATGCATTTTAGGCACAGGGAACCGGAGTCTGCTATCATAATTTTCCATTTTGGTAAACTGCAGTACCAGAGTTTACCATCATGCATTTGGGCGAAGCGTGGCACCTTGGATACTGTAAGACTTACTGTGATGCTTAATGAGCTTACTATGATGCATTTGAGACACACGTGCCACCTTATGCTCAAGGTTAGCTTGTGTTGCCTGGAGACATATAGCACTGAACTATCTGGTTTAAGCTAGGATTACAGGCATATGATCAACTCAAAATGTTGATTAAACTCCTACCGAACGATGCATTATTGCCATAGACATAGATATAAGTGTATTATATGCAGTTTCACCACGGGATTGTGCAGTCAATCCGCCAAAATAGAGGAGAGGACAGAGATACTGCCACTTGCTGTAATACTGCTAATCTATGGAATAAGGAAGCGGGGAAGGTTGTACTACCACGTGTAATTATGAACGTGGACTCTTTAGGTGAGTTTCACGCTGTAGGACCCCTCTGACATCCCCGAGCTGCTCTGACTCCAGACCAAAGCTGGCCTCTCTTCTTCTGGGTTCGAGGAAAGACTGTAGGCCACATCTTGATCGTCTTCTTCCAAGTCTGTCCAGGAGAGATGCTTCTGAAAAACAGCATGAGCGAGCCAGTCAGTGACGTGTTCAATGTGAGTCCGTCAGTGTTAGTCCCTTATTTGGTCAATGTTAGAGGCTCAGGTAATGTTAGTGGGTCAGGGCAAAAAGGTGAGACGATAGAGGGTCTTTCAATGTCAGTCTGAAAATTGGTCAGTGTGAGTCGATAGCGGGTCTTTCAATGTGAGCTTGAGAATGAACCAATGTGAGTCGATAGCGGGTCTTTCAATGTGAATTTGTGAATAGGTCAATGTGTGTCGATAGCGGGTCTTTCAATGTGAGTTTGTGAATAGGTCAACGTGTGTCGATAATGTGTGTCTATATAATGTGCGTGAGTATATGTATCAAAGACCAAGAAATTATTGAATCTGGGCCAGTTAGTCCAGTGACAAAATCTGACCCCATTTCAATCGGCGCTTCACGCATGAGGTATTTCCGTCCCGAACCCTAACAAAAGTTGGGGTTTAAAATTAAGAAAGAATTAAATATTACTGACCCTATTGTGATTTTGTCCATCAGTGGTGCCACCGTTTTCATGTTGCCTTCAATCTCCACCTCGCATTTGGTCATCGAGACGGGGAGCGGGTTGGTGAAGGAGATGTCCACCTCTGTTGCCTCCCCGGCTTTAACAGTGGAAGGACCCTATATAACACAGGACATGGGGCAGTATATATACATATATATTGATGGGAGCGGGTTTGTGAAGGAGATGTCCACCTCTATTGTCTCCACGGCTTTAACGGTGGAAGGACCCTATATAACACAGGACATGGGGCAGTATATAAACATATATATTGATGGGAGCGGGTTTGTGAAGGAGATGTCCACCTATGTTGCCTCCCCGGCTTTAACAGTGGAAGGACCCTATATAACACAGGACATGGGGCAGTATATATACATATATATTGATTGGAGCGGGTTGATGAAGGAGATGTCCACGTCTACTGTCTCCCCGGCTTTAACAGTGGAAGGACCCTATATAACACAGCATGTGAATTTCACATTAGAAACACATTTCCAGAACTACTACCGTTGTCTATTAACGGTCTTATATATCACTTAATGAAATCCCACCTTTATAACAAGGTCGGGGCGGCGCAGCTGAACGTTGTAGAGTTGTGTGAACAGACTTCCGGTTTCCTTTGACCTTCGTTAAAACCTGATCTGGAAGTTGAAGCCTTCCTGTGGGCGCATCATTGCTTGCTGGGGTGGACACACTCAAGGTGAAAGTCTGGCCTGTAAACACAATACCCATTGGGTCATGTTCCACACAGGTATCGTAGAGCTTTCGCTCGTTTGATACCAAATCATTAACGCGTTAAATAAAAATGGTATTCCACGGAAGATCGATTAGTATCGTCTATTTATGTCTCACGAATATGACCACAATGGTACACCTACTCTCCTCCGCCTGTGATAGCTTAGTAGAATCTACTTTAGTGTCTTCCTTGTTAACATTGTTGCCTCTTCACACCTGCCTGTAATGAATACGATATATGTCTCCCGTTGCTACAACGTTAAATCAACTCCACCGTATGTAATACGTATGAGGATTATTAACGACCTTCCAGTGTAATCCCATTTTTTATTAAACGGGTAAATGATTTAGTATCAAACGAGCGAAAGCGACTTTGAAACACAATCATTCACGACTTTAATAAAAAATGGTATTTCACGGAAGCGAGTTTGGTATTCTGTTTTTCTCTCCAACATAAACTGATAGAAACTGCCTACAGTGTGATGACTGTCCAGCTTCCGCGAGTCAAGCAAACTCTAATACCGTTGTGACAGAGGTAATAACATTGTGACCTCATAACTGTACCATTATGACGTTATTACACTAGTGTAATATTGTCGTAAAGTTATTACACTGCAGTATCTTGCACGGGCGAGTAATAAGTCAGTTTATTATGTAAGCTTATATTTTTCCGGCTACCTGATTGGTCTAGAGGGTCACTGTCGACAGAAAAGCATATTGACTCCCACCCAGGTCCGACCAAAAGTATTATTGTCTTGAGGTTTTTCGGTAATTACATAATAAAACAATTATGGACTGGGGGAATTGATCATCATACCAGTTTTATGGACTCCACGAAAGGCAATATTGATCTCGGTCTTCGTTCCTCTGTCAATATTGCTTTGGGTCCATAAATAGAGAATACTACACGAGGTCTTATTACATACGAAATAATACGAAACGAGTGTCCTTCCTATGGTATCTGACTTAAGCGAAATGCATTTAAGTTGTAGAGTGAATGAATTCACGTGTTTGTTATGAATGAAAAAATAGTTACGTCAGAATGTGACCTAATTGAAAGGTCATCGGTTATCCAATCAAATCGTTAGAATCTCAGGTGGTCAAGTCGTTACGACACAGGTCAACGCGATGTGACACTCTCGTGTGACGTACGATATTAGTATGCAACTACCCATACGTTGGCCACGTGAGTAATAATTAAGAATATTTCACTCATATATGACGACGTCCATGCGTGTGTATGTGGCGTCTTGTACTTTGCCCTGACCATTAATGCCGAGCGCCCGGCAGGGCCATACAAGTACCATATGTTAACGTTACCAATACGTTGACCTCGTGGGTAATAAAACAGGTATTTGACTTCATCACCAGTCTATAATTGTATAATATATCACGTCTCTTACGACTCCAATGTTACACCCACTTTGCCCTCTGCTTGTACCAATGTCTCCATCTTTTCAGACTGGCAGCCGTCCCCGTCGTGACGCCGTGGTAGGTACTGTGAAAGATGTCGATAAACAAGGTAACGGTGCGGGCCACGTTGTCGTTGTTGCGGGCGTGTATCTTACCGAGAAGCCCATTCCCACCATGACATCGATATTGTCCATACTCAGTCCAATGGCCTGAGTTAAGAAATTGAAAAATATAACCCTCCCTTGGTTAAAACGTTCACCATATTTAAGAAATCAACAGAACGTTTTAACCCATCAAAGCTCCCATCCATAGCACCATGTGTTACAATACGAATATGTATAGACTAACATCTAGTCTCTGAAGTGAACATATTTCACAGAGAATTTCAAAATTAAAATAATTACAATTAAAAAGAAGCCCATAGACTTCCTCCATTATCAGAAACCGTGGTAATCTGACTTGCCACATTCTAGACTTCCTGCATGTGCTGGATTGGGGATATGTGTTTTATGGTCTGAGTGACAGACAAGAATATGTATAAATGCACCAAGATATTTAATACTAGCACTATCTAGTGTTAAACTCTCGCCCTCACCTGGTGACATCGGCAGCTCATCCCTCATCGTCATCCAGATTGTCCCTTCTGAACATCGCCTGGGCCTGTCGGAGCACATCTCTTGCTTTCGCGGAACCTGTGAGAAGACAGTGTAACTGAAATAACGACATCAGCTGGCAATAGGCCTGGGCCCCTGTTTCACAAAGCTCGTAAGCCTAACATCTCGTAATGTTTCTTCCTCGTAGCATTTGTACCTCCTATAGGATGTAGATTCAAAGTTTAACATCCAGTAATCGTTCTCGTAGCGTTCGTACCTCCCATACCGTAACATAGAAGGTACGAATGCTACGAGAAAAGTTACGAGATGTTAGGCTTACGAGAGCTTTGTGAAACGGGGTACTGGTCTAGTTTCAGTGACCATCAGCTTTCCTTCCTGGGTGCTGTAGTGCTTTTACTAAGGCTCCGGGCAGTAAGACTACCTTCAAGGTGCGTGTAGTGCTTTTACCAAGGCTCCGGGCAGTAAGACTACCTTCAAGGTGCGTGTAATGCTTTTACCAAGGATCCGGGCAGTAAGACTACCTTCAAGGTGCGTGTAGTGTTTCTACCAAAGCTCCGGGCAGAAAGACTACCTTCAAGGTGCGTGTAGTGCTTTTACTAAGGCTCCGGGCAGTAAGACTACCTTCAAGGTGCGTGTTGTGTTTTACCAAGGCTCCGGGCAGTAAGACTACCTTCAAGGTGCGTGTTGTGCTTTTACCAAGGCTCCGGGCAGTAAGACTACCTTCAAGGTGCGTGTTGTGCTTTTACCAAGGATCCGGGCAGTAAGACTACCTTCAAGGTGCGTGTTGTGCTTTTACCAAGGCTCCGGGCAGTAAGACTACCTTCAAGGTGCGTGTTGTGCTTTTACCAAGGCTCCGGGCAGTAAGACTTCCTTCAAGGTGCGTGTTGTGCTTTTACCATGGCTCCGGGCAGTAAGACTACCTTCAAGGTGCGTGTTGTGCTTTTTACCATGGCTCCAGGCAGTAAGACTACCTTCAAGGTGCGTGTTGTGCTTTTACCATGGCTCCGGGCAGTAAGACTACCTTCAAGGTGCGTGTTGTGCTTTTACCAAGGCTCCGGGCGAGGTAAGACTACCTTCAAGGTGCGTGTAGTGTTTTACCAAGTGTCAATAAGGTGTGTGTTGTGCTCTGTCCAGTGGTCATTGACAGTGGGCCTACCTTTGCGGATACTTATACTGGTCAGTTACATCCAGTCGCTGCAGCCCGACCTGTGACTCACGGATGGACTGTGGGTGCTGATATTCTTGCCAATACTGCAGAAACACGCGGAATAATTAGGAAACGGACGTCAAGGACGCATCATGTTCTAGTCAAGGACATAGGCAACACGGGGACATATACAATAAGGGGAATTGTGCTTGTCAGGAACATATGCGTGAGTGAGCGAGTGAGTTTAGTTTTCCGCCGCTTTTAGCAATATTCCAGCAATATCACGTCGGGGGACACCAGAAATTGGCTTCACACATTGTGTCCATGTGGGGAATCGACCCTGGGTCTTGGGCGTGACGAGCGAACGCTTTAACCACTAGGCTACCCCCACCGCCCCCTTATGCGTGAGGTGGAAGTGCTTGTCCAGAACACATATGTGTCAAAGACTAGTGTTAGTCAGAGACCTACACCAATTTGGAACCTACCATTATCTGTGACAGTCGTACCAGTCGGGGGACCTGTTCTATTCATATATACTGTATAATATATTGCAATTAGGAAATTAATGCGATGACTGGTGACTTCACCCACCAGAGTGTTACTTACATGTTCCTGATCCGCTTCACTTGTTTGAGTTTTCTGGTCACTGAATCCTCTTCCCAAGTCACTAAGTCCGCATTGACCTCCGCGAACACGAAGGGCGTGTCATGGCCGATGTAGATCAGCCCTTCCTTGATGGCCTTCAATGGGGCGGGACCACAACAGAACGCGCCTGTAAATGCATGAAAGAGACAAGGCAATAGGTGAGTGAAAGGGATACAAGTTCTCTAACAATATATGTGTACGTTTTAGGGTACTGTATGTCAAGTAACATTGGTTGTTATCATATGTAATGTATTATTGGGCGTTATTGTATGTCAAGCATTAACAGCTGGTAACATATGTCAAGTATCACTCATTATTATTGCATATCAGGCATCAATGGTTGTTATTGTGCTTCAAATATCAATGGTTATTTTTGTGCATCAAGTATCAATGGTTATTATTTCGTGTCAAGTATCAATGGTTGTTTTGTATGCCAAGAATCAATGGTTGTTATTCTGGTGGCAAGTCTCAATGGTTATTATTTTGCGTCAAGTATCAATGGATTATTATTGTGCATCAAGTATCAATGGTTATTATTGTGCATCAAGTATCAATGGTTGTTATTGTGTATCAAGTATGAATGGTTGTTATTGTGTATCAATTATCAATGGTTGTTATTGTGTATCAAGTATCAGTGGTTATGATTGTGTATCAAGTATCAGTGGTTATGATTGTGTGTCAAGTATCAATGCTTATGTCGGTGTCCCTCCCACCTTCACTTTCCTCCTGGGGCGTGGCATCAATGGCCTGCCACCCGTCAAACTGTTTCCCCAGGTCTGGGCGACTCATCCATACCTCGTTCCATACATGAAAGTTCCTGGGAAATTAAAATGTTCTTTGTCATACGTAAATGGGCTAAAACTGAATAAAACACGACAGTCAGCAATACTATTGTAGATATGTACGCTTTTCCCCTGAACACGCAGTCTCTTATCAAATAGGCTCGTACATCAACCTGGGCGATGGGGTAGCCATATGGTTAACGCGTTCGCCCGGGTCCGATCCCACATGGGTACAATGTGTGAAGAGCATTTTGTGGTGTCCCCCGTCGTGAAATTGCTAGAATATTGCTAAAAGCGGCGTAAACCTTAACTCACTCACTCTTACATCTACCATGAGATACTGGCTACTTGCTACCCATGCAAATGACTATATGATAGTAAAACACGAACAATTATTCTAGGCTTTCTTATTTTTTAAATAACTTAAAAATATTTTTTTTCCAAACAATAATTGAAAATATCAATAGATGTCACAAAACATCAGAAAACAATATCGTTTTAGTCTATTAATTCCATAAATTTGTCAAGAACAGCATTGGCACCATCTTCCAACTGTCCGACATGAACCCCCATACTTACCATTTCCTGTCGCCGGAGACGTTGACATAGCCACCCGTATGGTTTGGGTCGGTATATTTCGTCTAAGCTTAGACGTTCCTTGTCAGTGTTGTGAGAAGATTCATAGTTGGTGACACTCCTACAGGGCAGTCCTATGGCTCGGCACACTGTGGATACAGCGAGCAATGTATTATTAATTACGGTGATATTCAAATTCATAAACATAACTTTCAGCCCAGAAAATACATGACTATAGCATGTGAGCGTTGTCACGACGCGTCAGCTTAATCTGACGCAGGTCTCAGACGTGTACCACTGTGGTGGAACCCACGAACACGGGTTTGGTGCTGGCAAACCTAGAAATATAATCGGGGAAATCGGGATTCGAACCAACAACCATAGGTTTTTGTGTACCCGGAGGGCGCATCACTGCAAAGATAATTGCGGCGCGATAGACGATTTGGCAGTCGTGTCCACTAACTTGTTGCATGTATGTCAGAAGGATAATTGTTCTCTATATTAATGATAGAATTGTTCGCCTATACTGATAACAATGATATTGACAGTTTTCCTTTGCTGATAATGACAATACTGAGTATTTCCTACTCATACGACCCGACCCACCCCACCCATGCCACTCCACCCCATCCCTACCCGCGCCCACAGGTAGTGCTATTACTCATTTAGCCCTCTTCTGCAAAGTAACAACACCGATTGTTTGTCCACACTGTTAAACAACAATTCGGATTGTTTATCTATACCGTTACACAACAATAGATTGTTCATCCACACAAGTACTGTAAGACAACAATACGGATTGTTCATCCTCACTGTTAGACAACAATGCGGAAACTCCCCATTCTTAAACAACAATTCTGCATGTTCTTCCTCCATGGTTAACAACAATACTGATTGTTCATCCACACTGTTAAGTAACAATACGGATTGTTCATCCACACAAGTACTGTAAGACAACAATACGGATTGTTCATCCTCACTGTTAGACAACAATACGGAAACTCCCCATTCCTAAACAACAATTCTGCATGTTCTTCTCTCCATGGTTAACAACAATACTGATTGTTCTCCCCACCTGTTACGAGGAGCCCTGAGAAGACCCAGCACTGTCCGAACTTGACCGGTTTGGTGGTGGACATGTACTGCTTCAGTATCTTCACACTCCCCTGTCCAAGTGTTAGGATGCGTGCCGCCGTCGAAACCGCCACGCCATTTCCCATACAGGACGCCGTTGTCATCGTTGAAGTTCACCTGAGCATTAATAAATATGACAGTGTGGCAGTGCACAATTTACAATTGGATGCGTTACATTTGTATATTTATGTGTATGTATATATTTGTATATATTTGCCACACACTTCACGTTCATTCGAAACAGTTACTAATGTGTCACTTTAGTTATCCTTCATGCCAAAGGTCAAGCTGACATAACGCACTTTGCAAAGGTAATTAACATCAACCATAAACCATTTGAAGTGTCTACTTCAAATTCAATCTATTATCAAACTAAAAGTGTGTTGACACTGATGTTAACGTTAAGTTTGATGACGGTGTAATACTATCATTGGTCTCATCTGGATCCTTACAGGGAATGTTTCAAGATCGAAGTGAGTGCACCTTCTAGACAAATGAAGTAAGAATATGGAATAATCCATGGTCACTGGCGTGAGTACTCACTATCTTGGAGAGCATCCTGGCAACCTTGCAGGCGTTCCCCATGGCTCGTGTCATCTTGAAGTTGAAGCCTTTCCTGAGAAGATGGAGAGCGGCGTGCAGGATGCCGTCTTCAAACTGGCCAACAGATTGGTTCAAATTATTTACAGGTTAAACCTGGTCCTCAAACGAGTTGGTGTCCAACTCAAAGGTTAATATCAACAACAGATTAAACAGGTCCTGAAATGACTGGGTGTCCACTAAAAGGTACATATCAACAACAGATTAATCAGGTCCTGAAATGACTGGGTGTCAACCAAAGGGTTCATATCTACAACAGATTAAACAGGTCCTAAAATGAGTTGGTGTTCACCAAAGGGTCCGTATCAAGCGAAGTAGTAGCAAATAGCGGTTCAGATTCATTAACATATTAACCTTAGTCCCTCAAACAAGTCAAAAACAACACACAGTCTCAAATCCAGACCACACTCAACCTGGTCATGACATCAACTAAAATTGCAAAGTCTTTTACAAATTCTGCACAATGCCGACTTATTTATTTATCGGCTAGGTAATGAAATACTATATGTCTTCAGAAAGATAGTTATGTGGATAAAGTGTATTGAAAACGATAAAAAACTATGGACTTCATACTGAATTTGACGCCTTCAACTTATTTACAACGCAGAATCTCACGATTTGGTATAACTCTAAATTTGTTCAAAACTCACTTATTACTTTGAATATGTTTATACATTTGTTGAATAGACAAATCAAAACTACAGAAAAAGCTCGAATTAATGTGTGAGCATGTTATGATACAAATGTTTCACTCTGCATTGTTATTTTGGCGGTGTCTGACAATACAAAAGCTCATTGTGTCGTCTCTCATTGAAGAGGACATGGGTGATCGTGTCCATACATGCGAATGTTGTCATGATGTGCGACCTGTTAACGCCATCTTGTCAGTGGGTATGCGTGCGTACTTCATACAAGAACAGTTAAAAATAGTCTTGTTCTATATGTATGCATTTCTAAAAGGGGCATCGTAGCATGGTCGCATTGCCGTGTTGTCTCCCTTAAATAAAAAGCAGAAAGTGTCAATTAGCCAACGCGCGACAATGCGACATCGCGACATTTCCTCGAAGTGATTTCAGAGTTATTAGGGCTGCACGGTATATCGCCATACTTTCATTGACGACAAATGTTTACCATCGTTATTCAACCACAAAACTGCATACTGTAATATTATAAATTGTATAAAGAAAACAGAATCTGTGACTATGCAACCTAATTTTGAGATTGCTGTTATCAGAGCCATAACATGTATCTTTAGGAACTTATAATATAGAAAATAGGATTGACATGCACAGTTAGTGTCACTCACTGTTAGAGCTAAACAATATAACTGGTTTACCGGTATACCGGCTCAGACATAAAATGATATGTATTGCGATACGCTGATCGAAAGCCGGTATTTTTACATGCAATCGGAAAACTTCGTAACACTCAAATTCTTCGGATATTTCCGTTTTCACACCAGAAGTCATGCTTTTTGTAAAATGGCGACCCTCAACAACGACCATTGTGGTGCCAAATACTAGGGCAAAGGATTCACTATGGCAGCAATTGGGGTTGAACCACTGTGTTGATGTTAAATTGTTCTTTCGCATCACAATGTATAACAATATGAAAATTCTCTGCAATACCCACCTACTCACTGTCAAATGCTTAAGGTCCCAACATATTGCAATACGGGTATCTGAATTGCAATATATTTACTAATACAATTTATTTGCCAATGCACAGTCCTAATAGTTATGACCTATTTTTTAGAACAGAATCAGACGAATCAAATGACTGCTGCCTTGGTAACAAGAGTGTGTTTTGTTACTTATAGTATTTATATTCGTTCTTCGTTTAAACCTTAAAGTTTTGAAGTGTAAACTATTGCAGCTATGTACCTTGGAACGGTATTTATACAAACCACTTAGGCCTGTTTACCCACCCTCAGCCACGTCAACTTGAATACAATATGTTGAATTGATAAAATTTACTGGACGAAGCTAGGTCACCATGACCGATAATGTCGTGTGCAAACTAACAAAAACCGCTAAAAACAATGAAGTTTGGTTCGAAAACCTGTCTCTTCACAGGGCGTACAATACACAATATTTACAGGCGGCCGTCATTTAAGAGGTAGTGGTTACGAAAAAAGGATATTTGTCTAGCTTGAACTACAAAGATATTTACAAGCTGTAAATGAGAACGTAATATTACAACTGTACATCTGGTGGTATTACTGACACCTGGCTGATATCCATTGAATATAAACAGAACCACATTATGTAATGTGATGTTATTGTGGTGAGTTAGTGAGTGAATGAGTTGGGTTTTACGCCACTTCTGGCAATATTCCAGCAATAGCACGGCGGGTCACACCAGAAACGGGCTTCGCACATTGTAATAATATTGGGCATCGAACTCAGGCCTTCTGAGTGACGAGAGAATTCTTGAACCGCTGGACTACCCTCACTACCCTAGTGACTTTCGTCCTGTCAATACATGCAGCTTTGTTGTGTCGTGTGTCGAACATTTTCATCACTGTCTGGGCTGTCTGAGCTGTGTGATCAGGCTTGGAACTTCTCACTTTACATTGTTGTCAAACGTTGCACTGTGCAACATTCCAGCTACGTCAGAGCTGGCTGTAAATAATAGAGTCGTGACCAGAAAATATCTCCCTTCCAGTGTAAGCTATTAGTAGTATAGTAAGGGTCCGCTGATGCTCTACACCAGACCCCATCAGTAACTCACCTACCCGAGTTGCCAATAACTCACCAGACCCAAACAGTAACTCACCTACCCGAGCTGCCAATAACTCACCAGACCCAAACAGTAACTCACCTGACCGAGCTGCCAGTATCTCACCTTACCGAACTGCCAGTAACTGACCAGACCCCATCAGTAACTCACCTGACTGTGCTGCCAGTAACTAACCAGACCCAATCAGTAACTCACCTACCCGAGTTGCCAATAACTCACCAGACCCAAACAGTAACTCACCTGACCGAGGCTGCCAGTATCTCACCTTACCGAACTGCCAGTAACTGACCAGACCCCATCAGTAACTCACCTGACACATCTGCCAGTCACTCACTGGGAACGCAACTCACCTACCCGAGTTGCCATTAACTCACCAGACCACACCAGTAAATCACCTACCCAGGCTGCCAGTAACTCACCAGATCTCATCAGTAACTCACCTACCCAAGCTGCAAGTAACTCACCCAGACCCCATTAGTAACTCACCTTCCTGAGTTGCCAATAACTCACCAGACCCAAACAGTAACTCACCTGACCGACCTGCCAGTATCTCACCTTACCGAGCTGCCAGTAACTGACCAGATCCCATCAGTAACTCACCTACCCAGGTTGCCAGTAACTCACCAGACCCTATCAGTAACTCACCTACCCGAGTTGCCATTGACTCACCAGACCACACCAGTAAATCACCTACCGAGGGCTACCAGTAACTCACCAGACCCCAACAGTAACTCACCTACCCGAGCTGCCAGTAACTCACCAGACCCCATCAGTAACTCACCTGACTGTGCTGCCAGTAACTAACCAGACCCCATCAGTAACCCACCCACCCGAGTTGCCAGTAATTCACCAGACCCCATCAGTAACACACCTACCTGAGGTTGCCAATAACTCACCAGACCCAAACAGTAACTTGCCTGACCGAGCTGCCAGTATCTCACCTTACCGAGCAGCCAGTAACTCACCTGACCCAATCAGTAACTCACCTGACACATCTGCCAGTCACTCCCTAGAACCCAACTCACCTACCCGAGTTGCCATTAACTCACCAGACCACACCAGTAAATCACCTACCCAGGCTGCCAGTAACTCACCAGACCCCATCAGTAACTCACCTACCCAAGCTGCCAGTAACTCACCAGACCCAAACAGTAACTCACCAACCCGAGTTGCCATTAACTCACCAGACCCCAACAGTAACTCACCTACCCGAGTTGCCATTAACTCACCAGACCCCATCAGTAACTCACCTACCCAGGTTGCCAGTAACTCACCAGACCCCATCAGTAACTCACCTACCCAAGCTGCCAGTAACTCACCAGACCCCATCATCAGTAACTCACCTACCTGAGTTGCCAGTAACTCACCAGACCCCATCAGTAACTCACCTACCCAAGCTGCCAGTAACTCACCAGACCCCATCAGTAACTCACCTACCCGAGTTGCCATTAACTCATCAGACATGCATCAGTAACTCACCTACCCAAGCTGCCAGTAACTCACCAGACCCCATCAGTAACTCACCTACCCGAGTTGCCATTAACTCATCAGACATGCATCAGTAACTCACCTGACCGAAGTACCAGGGCTTGCCGTTAATGTTAAAGTAATCTCCCTGGTACAACACTCCTGAGTCGTTTTCCACAGCCTCCGCTAGCCACTCTGGGTCAGGCAGATACACCACATCCTCTGTCCCGACAGAACGTACATTTCATCAGCCTGAATCCCTGCAGATTCATCCTAGTGTTCATTAAACAATTGTCATATATCCATGTACCGTACACATGCATGGTCAAACAAGTGAAAAATATTACAAACAAGCACTAGGCTCACATTTAGTCCAAGAAATAATAAAAGGAGTCCACACGATCACCTTCTTCAGACTGAGGGCAAGTTAGAGTTACCGAATATTTCTAGAAAAGGCTTGGAGCACTATTCAATCCTAGAAATATAAACATCATGTCACAATATATATTCCAACCAAAGGAGCCCTGGACATTAAGAGCAGAGCAGTCTAGGCCTTTAAAATTACTCTTGTCTGAGTTGGGCCATTTTCTTTATTTTTGTAATCTGGGGAGGGACTACAGAACCTGTAGCGTCAAGGTGAAAATAATTAGTCAGCTGTTTCACTTAGCAGTACATCAAGACCTGTCTGTTAATATGGAATGGAAGAGCTAACTGCTGTGTTCTACTTGGGTGAAACTAACAAACAATCTTATGGAAATGACTATCCAGAGATTATGATTAATGTATTATATCAAACCGTTGATCAGCGGATCCGAGAATGTCTAAAGGAGGCAATTCTGCACATCGAACTTTATGGCATAAACCACTTTGCTACCGTACATCTGAGAAAACTATTTCCGTTTCGTTTTGCTCAATATATTTCTTTTCACGTGATATTTTTAACAGTTGAATTGCTTTTGCTTTTTAATGTGCATTTGTATCAGCTTTCTATTCCCCGGAGATCTAATATCAATTCAATAGTTTAAATTCTATGTTATTTCGTATTTACCAGTATTACCGGGTGATCTAAAACACTCCTTATTTGAATATTGTGTCTCACCTTTTACACCAAGGATTAAAGATGATAATGATGTCGTCATTGTGGTTGTACTGCCAGATGAGGTCTTTGCCGTTTTCGACGTCCACGGCGGTCCTGACAATCAAGTCCCACACTCCAATAGGGGTAGAAGCTGGGAGAACACTTCTACTGTGAGAGAGTTACCTCCCTTCTTGACGACGGTGGCGCCCCATTTGCGTGGCTTATAGGACGTGTCTTCGTCTTCCGTCACCCTGAAGAGCTCCTCGACTGTGCTGTCATTTTCTCCAGACGCTGCATGAAGAGTCATGATAAGTGGACAGTGCATCAGAGCATCAGAGCATCAGTGAGTGAGTTTAGTTTTACGCCGCACTCAGCAATGTTCCAGCTATATGGCGGCGGTATGTAAATAATCGAGTCTGACCAGACAATCCAGTGATCAACAGCATGAGCATCGATCTGCGCAATTGGGAACCGATGACATGTGTCAATCAACCAAGTCAGCGAGCCTGACCACCTGATCCCGTTAGTCCGCCTCTTACAAGCATAGTCGCCTTTTGTGGCAAGCATGGGTTATCAGGGCATCTAAGCATCAGAAACAATTTAACCATCAGTGCACGGTGCGTGTCAATGCCGGTTATTACCATCACACGGTTCAAATGCAAACGCAGCCACTATTGGACAACTTGCCTGTCAGTAAAGTTTTCCTAGACAATTTGCAATACAGTGGAACTTCCTTAACGTGAGTTCAGTCTATTTCGATGCCTTGTTTCAGACAGGGAAGAATATATATACGGATACTTGGGTGGATACTTCTGTCTGGAACTACAGTGACGTAATTTTGAATTTTCGTAGTTTTGAATCCATCGGATAAAAGTGGTATCCGTCAGGGTCATTTGCAATAAAAATATGTACTAAAGCAAAGAAACTGACAGGGAAAAGAAAATATACCAAGTTTCTATGTAACTGAGAAAGAAATGTTGTGAGAATTGGCTGTCTTTTTACCAGCACTAGTACCTACAAAAAGGTATTCTGTGGCTGTCTTTGTAGAAACTCAAGTTGGTGCAGTACAAACGGGGTAAAGATGCATTTGTAACCTCTTGATCCATACACAATGTTCAAAATGTTGTAACTCTGAGTCTTAAAAGATCAAATCTATTGGTTTTCACTCTGTCTGTATATTGCGAAAGATTATATTTTAATATTTAAAAGCATTAAACCAAATTGTATTTTTAAAAATAACACTACGTAGAAAAAATGACTTGTTTGCTAACTAACTTCAATTGAAAAACAAAATTAATATAAGTAGTTGAAGATTGGTGAACAAATTAAAGGGGACAATGTTTATCATTATCGATTCAATTATAGATACCGAAACGGCTAGCAGCATCCGTTTCCATACATGTGCTGTGGACTTCTGCGGCTTGGGATAATATCTAGTATTTTAAACATGTTTGACCGTAATATTTCATTTTGCTGCAGTATGGATAATTTATTAGCGTAATGAAAATGCAATTACCCAGCAAGCACAAAACAGCCTGTATTACAACCTAGAGTAGCCTTCCTTTGTGAATCACTGTATTGTCCGGTCCACACTCGACTATTTGCATACCTGAGTCAAATACTTGAATATTGCTCAGTGGAATGTTCCTTGTTTGCATGTGTTTTGTTTGCTTCTTTGCGGAGGGTTAGTGGAATGCGAAATGGGTCTAAATAATATATGGTACACACTTACCTAAGCTGAACAAAAGCGTGATGTCGTTCCTGGCGATGTCGTAAGGTCTGTCGAAGGTGATGGTGATGAAGAAGGTCTGACCTCTCCTGACCACCAGCTCGGCTCCCTTATGACCCCTGACCTCTGTGCACTCATACATGTCTGTGTGGTGCTGCTTGGTGTTCTCCGATATGTTAAGGTCAAGGTTGGTCACGTGCAGTTTTGAGGCCAAATCGTCTCCTGTAATCTCCGATCGTTCATCCACCCTTTCCTTGTCTCCTGTTTAAGAAACATAAAATGGTTATTTGTTTACCTTTGAAAGTCAAAAATGTCTTAAATATTCCATTGTCCATTCTACATATTCTGTTCTGGAAACCTCATTCATTTTAACGTGTTTTAAACATTCAAGCACACGTGGATACAATGCGTAACGCCCATTTCTCGTGTTCAAGCCTGGTAAAGCGGGTTTTATACACTAACTCATTAGAATTTCTTAATTTCAGGCATATAACCACTATCAGCCTCTTTGTACCCACGATTGTCTTATCAAAGACCACATTAAACAGATTCTTATGAAAGTAATAGCCATGTACTTTGTAAGTCATTTCATAAATTATATATTTGTAACGCCTGCCTCTTGGACAGATAAGTAAGCGGCTAACAGCCACATCCCGGGGCTACCATGGAGTGAAACCAACAGCACCTGCCACATCCTGACCAAAGCTTTCTTGGTGCCTCGTGGTTATCTCCCTTTCCCCCAGGTCGTCTCTCCACCTGTTCCGGAAGTGGCTGTCGAGTTCCAGCATAGTGGGCCGTGTTCTCCCAAAGGAGTACCATGATTCGCTGAACCGACTTCTCACTATTCGAGTGGAACTGTAACATATTGTCATGTGGTTATTTTATGCTCTGGCCATGTCCTTTAGACTCAAAACGTTATATTATTGTAGGTTCACAGTAGGTCAAGTCTAGGCAAGACCTCAATTGCGCCAAAAGTCGCCGCCCTTGGTTACGTCCCTTAGTTGAATGCCGTAGACCCTGACCATGGCTTCGAATTCCGTTTCGCACCATAACTATGTTGGTAGCCTTCACCCAGGTGTTAGACTCCTAAGTCAACGTGAGGTGAGGTGAAATTGGGTTTTACGTCGTGCTTGAGAACATTTCCCTCATATGACGACGAGCATGCGTGTGTATGTGTAGGTGCGGCTGCTTGTACTAGCCTAGACTTAAGCTGGTTTTATAGTGCTAGCTCACTGAGATACCAAGCCGCAGTGAAGCATGAATACCCCACTCAGACGGTTACACTGACTCCGAGCCGACCAGTCCTTGTTGTACCCATTAATGCCGAGCGCTAGGCAGGGACCAACAAGTACCATATTTTAACGTCTTTTGGGTATGACGCGGTCGGGGATCGAACCCGCGACCTTCCGCTCTCCGTCTAAGTCATGCATCACTTAGGGATATTCAATAAAGTAATACGATTAGTTCCGCAGAACCCAACTAACTCGCAAAAGACTTGGGCTTCAGTTCTAACTTAGTACAGGTGCTTTATAACATACTTGGCTTAGACTGAAACTACACCATTACACCGTCATTCTCTTCCCACAGAGCTTACTTGTCATATCTTCCTACGTAACCTCTGTTCTAATACGGCCATATTTCCCGGTTCTCGTAAAATCCCCTAGCGGCAAAAGATCGCAACACGAATTATCTCCCTTCTTTCTATCCAATCAGAACACGTGTTACATCGACTTAGATTTAACTTGACTAACACAAGCAAATGTGAGGCCACAAATATCCCCATCTACCGGGGACGTGTGTTGATGTTACACACAGGACGTTTAATGGCTAGCTTGTTCGTTTTCAACGAGGGCGATGGAGACACCACTGATCCCCCATAACATGACTGTGTTCTGTCTAGAAGAAACGTTTGCGCATCGCGCAGGGGAAGAGGTTTAGTTTTCTCGAAGTATACGGAAATTACCGAGGCCTTGCGAATGATCACTTTGAAACAACGTCGCTGATTGCACAACTAAATCTGATTACCTCCAATCACGAGTCTTGAACGCTCACACCTTGAAAGGGCCGTATTAGAACAGAGGTTACGTAGGAAGATATGACAGGAGTAACCTCTGTGGGAAGAGAATGTTACACCGTATAATGGTCGTTATTTTAATATGATATTCCTTTTTCATTCTTTACAATACAGTGGGTGACATACACCTATTTCCAACGAACGAAGAACTTATTTACGACAATTATATCAGTTCACATTGAAGGTGATGAAGGTGAGTCTGACCTGAAGTTGAAGCTCCGGAAAGACATCGTCGTTGTTGGCGTCAGTGTATGATGTTGAAGTTGTTGCTAGAAACAACGCCTCTCAAACACCTGGCGTTGTATCTGCATAAGTAAAGTGGACAGTTAGACACATGCATTTCCTTCTATGTTCTATCATCTAAGGATACACTTAGACTGGAAATCTTAGATTTCAATAACATTGCCTCTGATCTAAGTACCCGCAAGACTTCGGCTCAAAAATTCATTATTAATTTCTCTGAATCCTGCTCTGAAGCAGTTTCTGCTACTTTTTGTGTACATGGTCTGGAGACCAAGACAGAGAGATACGGTATATTTGAGTGAGTGAGGGGGTTTGGTTTTATCCCATGAATATCACGGCGTGGGCACCAGAAATTGTCTTTGTACATTGTACCCATATGGGGAATCAAACCGGGTATTCGGGTATTCGGTGTGACGAGCGAACGCTTTAACCGCTAGGCTACCCCACCGCTCCCGGTATCCTTGAATCCCCGTTTGTATTCGAGACATAAGGTGTATGTCCACCACTGTTTGTGAAGTCGCATGTATTTTGACACTATGCTAAGACTGCATGGAAATAGTTCTGTTACAAGTGAAGAGAGAACTGCAACATTATTACTGCAAAGTTGCTCATTTAGTCACTATAATTATTCATCAATTAAGCAAAAGATTGAACTGGTTTATGTATGCAACATACAAAACCAATTCGCCATCACAGCGCCCTTCTTTGACATTATGCGAGGTCGATCACGAGCTTTAAGCCTCGTATAGGGTGAGTGAGTTTAATTTTATGCCGCACTATTCAAGCTATATGGCGGCGGTCTGTAAATAATTTAGTCTGGACCAGACAATCCAGGGATCAACAGCATGAGCATCGATCTATGTAATTGGATACGATGACGTGTCAACCAAGTCAGCGAGCCTGACCACCCGATCCCGTTAGCCGCCTCTTACGACAAGCATGGGTTACTAAAGATCAATACTCTAACCCGGTTCTTTACGGGTGACCTCGTATAGAAGTACTTGTTGGCCTTACATGACGTTTAGAAGATATAGCCACACAGTGCTCGCTCAGATATTTTGGATGTGACTTGTGACTAAAGCGCGCAGGGCTCTCTAACATCAACTCCGTCCAAGAACGTAAAGAATCAAAACAGTTTTAAATAGTTAAAGATTTGTTTCTTTCTGTATAAATAATCCCAAAACACGAACTGTGTGCTTTCTTTTGTATGTCAGTTTGGTTATGGAAAAACTAAATCTATCGGGGCTATTTGCACCATGCGCACGTAAAGAAGAGCATGATCCATAGCCCATTTATCCATTACTTCATGTGACACATAGTCACTGCGTTGCATATACACGTATACAAATTGTAGAGTAACATCACGTGCTTGCCGCACCAAGGTGTCTGATATAGTGTCAGGGGGCCTACAAACAATATTAAGACTGAAGTGAGGAGCATGCAGAGATGTACATTGTATGTACATGACTCGTGTCGACACCCAGGCATCTCAGCGTGTTAATACAACCACGCAATGAGTCCAGGTCGTTTAATTAACTTTATTGCGGTGAGCACTTAATCTGGACAAAGTATTTAGGTTATATCAGGTTAGGTTATTTAGGATATGACATCATGATGGTAGACAAAGTACTTTGGTATCGGGTTGTTAACAACTTTGAACGAATTTCATTATTTTGGCGTCACATCATGTTAGCATGCAGTGTAAACAAAGGGTTGTTTAAACCTACATTTTGAATTAGCATTAGAGGATATCTGTAAACCAAATCGTCCTGCTCCGTGGGTGGTGGTGGGAAGAGTGACAGAGTGAGTGATGTTGGAAAGAATGGAGGAGTGAGTGATAATGTGTAGGCGAGAAGGGAGAAAGTGTGTGAGAGTGATGTAGGCGAGAACGGAGAAAGTGAGTGAGGAAGTGATGTAGGTGAGAAGGAGAAAGTGAGAGAGGGTGATGTAGGCGAGAACGGAGAAAGTGAGAGAGAGTGATGTAGAGAAGGAGAAAGAGTGAGAGAGTGATGTAGGCGAGAAGGGAGAAAGAGAGAGAGTGATGTAGGCGAGAAGGAGAAAGTGAGAGAGTGATGTAGGAGAGAAGGGAGAAAGTGAGAGAGAGTGATGTAGGAGAGAAGGGAGAAAGTGAGAGAGAGTGAGAAAGTGAGAGAGAGTGATGTAGGCGAGAAGGGAGAAAGTGAGAGGGAGTGATGTAGGCGAGAAGGAAGAAAGTAAGAGGAGTGATGTAGGCGAGAAGGAGAAAGTGAGAGGGAGGAGTGATGTAGGCGAGAAGGAGAAAGTGAGAGAGAGTGATGTAGGCGAGAAGGAAGAAAGTGAGAGAGAGGATGTAGGTATGAGAAGGAGAAGTGAGAGGGAAATGATGTAGGCAAGAAGGAGAAAGTGAGAGAGAGAGTGATGTAGGCGAGAAGGGAGAAAGTGAGAGAGAGTGATGTAGGCGAGAAGGGAGAAAGTGAGAGGGAGTGATGTAGGCAAGACGGGAGAAAGTGAGAGGGAGTGATGTAGGCAAGAAGGGAGAAAGTAAGTGAGAGTGATGTTGGTTGGAATATTTCTGGGAATACGGTTGGAATATTTCTGGGAATACGAATGGAATATACCTGGTATACAGTTGTGATATTGCTGGAATACTGATGGAATATTCCTAGGAATTCTGAAATACGGTTGCGATGTTATTGAAATACGAATGAAATATTGCTGGAATTTGAATATTGATGATGCGTGGTTTGAGTGGCCAAGTTAAAGTGTTCGCTCGTCACGTCGAAGACCCGGGTTCGATTTCCCACATGGATACAATGTGTGAAAACCACATGTTGCTGGAATATTGCTAAAACTGTATTCAGTCATTGCTGGTGTATTACCAATGCTGCGTTGAAACCCTAACCACTCATCCTTAGAAAATAACATCGCACTAGCTCCCCATCAGGATAAATACTCATCTATTCGGGACCAGAGGTAATATACTCTCCCAAAAAAGAAACGCAAAAGGTTTTGCTCTGTTTATGAGTCCTATGGTGTTTATGTTTTGAAACATGACAACAAAACGCACCATCCGTAAAATACCCGTATTTAACAGCATGATTTTCAATTTCGGCGTGTAGTGTCACAGAATACCCAGTTCACATGCAATGCATGTGAAAGTTGGGGATCAGATAGTCTCAATGATGGGTATAAAAGGTTGATCGTTGTCTGTCGATTATTCACTGTATTTGGAATATTGTTGACGAACGCAAAATGCCACGTCTAAGTGAAGCCAACCGTCATATCGCCATTGGTTTGCTTGAAGCTGGCCAGTCTCAACGCGCAGTTGCCCGACGCATGAATATTCACCTAAGCACCATTTCACGGCTCTGGGAGAGATATTGCCGGCAGAATGCGGTAGCAGATGCCCCACAGTGGGCAGTGGGCGACCTCGAGCGACCACTGCGGCGCAGGATCGCTACATCCCGGTACATCACCTGCGTCATCGAACAGCTACGGCGACCAGTACCGCTCGACAAATACCCGGATTGAGGAGGCTTTCTGCACAGACCGTCATGAATCGGTTGAGAGAGGCTGGTTTACGTGCCAGAAGACCTTATTTTGGCCCTGTGCTTCGACAACAACATCGTCGACATCGAGTTCAATGGTGCACCAACGTTCAGGCCTGAACCTACCGAATTGGCGTAGAATCTGATTCAGTGATGAATCACGATTTCTATTGAGAACGACGCGATGGAAGAATGCGGGTGCACAGACGTCGACGTGAACGTTTCGCCGACGCTTGCGTTCCCAAGGTAGTGGTCAGATTCGGCCGGGAAAGTGTTATGATGTGGGGAGCGATCACCCGCCATAGGAGAAGTGATTTGGTGATGATCCAGGGCAACCTGACAGCTCAACGGTACTGTGACGAAATCCTAAGCCCACACCTCCTTCCAATCATTGATCGCCAGAGGGAGTTGTTTCAACAGGACAATGCAAGGCCCCACACAGCACGTCACACTAGAGACTTCCTCCAGAACCACAACATCAATGTGCTCCCCTGGCCCTCAAGATCACCGAACTCAAACCCGATCGAACATCTGTGGGATGCCCTGGTCACAGCGCCACCACATCGTCTCCATGTGACACTCAAACTGACTTTCCTCGAGTTGGTGCCAAAGACGGATAACTCTGCATTCCCAGTGTGCAATTTCGCTATATTTCATTGACTGATAAAGCCTACAAGATGTTTCAAAATAAACATAAAAATACAGTTGAATTCCTATATGCGTTTCTTCTTGGGAGAGTATATCATATTTAAGGTGACGTCATGTCCTTATTTCGACTCTGCTTTTAAACTACTAGAGTCGAAACGACCCGTGTTGGCTGTTTAAGAGCTCTGTAAACATTGATTGAAAAACGCAGAGTAAAGGTGTGCACATATACACAACTGTTCAAACATACCAGGTTGTCTCGCTCACACATGCACAGTTCGGTAGTGGTGTGTTGCTGTCGGAGTAGGCATATTCCTCTATACAATTGCTTAAAATGATCAGGTGAAATGATGCCCCATATTCCACACAAAGAATGTTACACATAGTTTTGATTTTGAGCTGCATTGTACATGCGAAAAAGAACTGACAGAAACGTATTAAAATCATCTGAATAAAACAAACATCAACAATTTAAAAGGGCATGTAACGACATAACATTACCGTAGTCTACATAAGTTACATATAATAATAATAATAATCCATTTATCATGCGCATCGCTCCATGCACAGTGATGCTCGAAGCGCCCAAGCAATTTGATTATCATTACCCTGGACATATAGCTAGAGTATTGCTGAGTGCGACGTTAGACACCAAACAAACAAATACAAACATTTGCTGGGTCAGCCTTTGAAGGATCAAAGTGACATAAATGGATGATATGTGTTTGATCAACAATAATATGCGATCCTACCTGAAGATGCAGACGAAGCTACAGGTAAATCTTCACCAACAGGTCAGGTATGTAGACGCCTGGTTTTCTTTAGACTGTTCCCCTACTGACTGTGATGACTCACCCGAAACACCGATGCACTTATGCGAAGATATATTTCACAGCGGCAGACCACTTGGACAAAAGGAACCGACAAACGGTCGTTCATAGGAACGTGGGCTCGGCTGTCGTAGATATAGTGTGTCCTTATATAGGTGTGTTGTGGCCTACTTTACTGATGGAGGGGGTTGTAGAGGCTGATAGGCCGCTGGGAATGAATGGGTTTAATCTTGTTAAAACATGTGAAACGTTCGTGACGTGTCATGTTTTACAGCTGAAAGGAGAATGTAGCAAAAAGAATTCGGGTGATCCTGACACTGTTAGACTGCTAAGGCTCAACGTCAGCTCAGGTACACCTGTCCCCTCTACACGCAACCCAGACAGCGAATTAGTGGAGCGGCTTAACAGATAAATTGTGCATTTAATGATAAAAGCATAAAACTTTGCACATTTATTGACTGATGCATACTGAACATTTTCAGATATGGAGACCCTCAAAATAATTTCATTTCGCGCATGCGCAGAAGGTTTTGTTTGTTTTGCCTCCTGATATATGGGAGCGGTCTGTAAATAATTGACTCTGGACAAGACAATCAAGTGATCGACAGTATGAGCATCAATCTAAGCAGTTGAGATACAATGACATGTCAGCTAAGTCAGCGAGCATGACCACCCGATCCCGTTGCCTTACCCGAATCTTCATGGGTCTAAACTTTGACATCAGCCTTCCACACACCCTCGAGTTACACAAGCGAGAGGGGGGCGTGGTTGACGAGCTGTCGGAGCTGGCTAAGGCGTCAGGCTAGTGATCCAGCGAGCTTGGGGTGCCGGGATCGAGCCCACCTGTGACCGGGTGTAAAAATCCTGGAGTCGACTTTGTGTGCAGACCCTTTCACTGTTGTCACAACCCCTAGTGTACAGTACACAACCATATGCACTTAAAAGAATCCACGAATCCGTTGGTATATGACCAGATGGTGGCCACATGAATACGTGAAAACACCTAGTTGCGGGTACAGCAACGTGCAGTAAACGTGGACAAAGTACTGTGTCTATGTGTCCCAGTCCACCCAGCTGTGAATGGGTACCTCCTGAGGATGGGAAAGCCTAGTGGCTGCAAGAGTTGCATGATCCCCAGGGAGTTCAGATAATAAGATGTGCCATTTGAGATTGACATCCAATGAGCGAGGGAAAAACAAAGTGTCTTTAAACAGCTGAGTTGGATATTGGCGCTATACAAATATCAGCATACAAATAAGGAACAATATAAGGAAACGCGCTGTGTTCGCTGTAAGAGGGTGTGTATTGCTGTAGAGTGCTTGAAGAATGTCAGCGAGCCTGACCACCCGATCCCATGAGTCGCCTCTTACGACAAGCATGGATTCCAGAAGACCATTTCAAATTCACATCTTCACGGGCGTCTGCAGAAGGTAAATACAACTTTGCCTTTTCTCGCTACTGATTTAGCTTTGGAAAGGCCATCAATGCATTACATGTTAACCAAAATAATATTTACCCACATATTCTGGTTCAATGTCTTGAGAGTCCAGTGTATTTAAGTGAGGACTGTTTGCACTTACATATGTTGTTACATCCCTTTCTGCAGCCACAAGAGACCACCTCCTGACAAGACGTTGAATCTGTGTTGAAGTGTCATCCATTAGGGATTATATTTACCACTTGCTTGCTGTATCCAGAGTAAAGGCTGTGGAAGAAGTGACTTACCCCATATATGTCCTGCCTGGTCAGTTGGTTTTCACATGCTGTACAGAGCTGCATGCGTTGGTGGGATGGCATGTTTTGAACGTTACTGCAAGCACTACAACATCTGCAGCTACTGTCGTAACATAATCCGTTCATGGCCATGTTTTGCAGCATGAGCAACATGAATTATGACGTCAGTATCGGATTCTTGATGACTGCAAGGGACAAGTGAAGACATATCCATCAAATGTTTTGACAGTACCAGGTTTCAACTTTGAACAGTGACAGCTCCGGCAATAATTAAAGTGGTAACAGTTGGCTCTTCTGATATTGCTGTAACGTAATATTATGCTTCTATATACGCCAACACATCACGTTTTGCACCAGCGCGAAAGCATCCATTTTCTGATAGGGATGGTGTCTGCTTTTCATACTGATCGGAATCATCATCAGAAGCGCTACAATTTCCTGAAATGATTTAGAACACGGCAGTACTTTTGACAAGACAAGACACAGACGTTCAGAAAATACATGATGGCAAGCTATTGGCTTAAATGATGCAGGGATGTTCTGTCGCAACATTGTACGCTAACCACATGGCTATAAGTCACCTTAAGGGGAATCTTGTGGCCACCGGTGAAGTACAATGTCGTCCAAGTCCTGGCAGACTGGGGAACACCAATGATCTTGATGATCGCGTCCAACTTCGTCTTGCATGACATCACTAAGACAAACCAGGCCGAAGAACTGCAATGGGGAGTGGGGGTCTCTTAGACTCTCCATCATTACCATCAGAAGGAGTCTGCGACGTCAAAGGGTGCGTCGTCCGATCAGACGTCCCTTCGTCACAGATAGGAGCAGGCAGAAACGTCTGGTGTGGTGTGCAAATGGTCTCTTGAAAGTCGCTTTCTATTACATGTTACCCACGGCCGTTGTCAGGTATAGAGACGTCGTATCATCAGGAGATGATCTATGCAGCTGAACCCAACAGTGTTTCGTATGGCTGCAAGTTGCATCTCATTACAGTACCTGGGAAACACAAAGGTCAACGTTTTCGACAGGAAGTACTAGATGCCGCCATAGGGCCACTTTTTTTTATCTTTGCCAATCGTCAGATATTCAATAATGACAACGCTAGGCCGTCTCGTGCCGTCATCACCCATTTTAGGGAACAATTCCATCGAAGCATTACCATGGCCCGTAAGGAGCCCCAATAGATACCTCATTGAACATCTTTCGGACTATGTTAGATGCTGGGCCTTATCCTGTTCAAAGTGAAGAATTGAGGCATACACTGTATCGGGTATAATACGATGCTTGATTGGCTGTATAAAGAGGAGACTGCACAGATGTCCGAAGGATGGTTACACAAGGAACTGGTGTGGTCACCTTTGGTGGTTCATACAATCAGAACAACCATTGTTTATAAACTGTGCGACAATCAGATTTGTGGGGTAGTCATGGTGACCATAGTTTCCATCATTGTTGATGTTCACGTTTTTGTGTATTCCTCTCAGATTGCAGTAATGTGTAACTATGTCTCAATTTCAGTTTTGTTTGTTTTGGGGTTTTAAATCAGAGTAATATGTGTTGCAGTTACCATTTTAATCCGTGTAATTTTGGTTTTCAAAGCATATGCACCAACATGTGTCTTCGTACGCATCTTTAAAAAGCGGGTTATTGCATGATTTATGCTCGTGGATAGATTTCATTATGGCCTTGAGCATGAAGTCAAAAATTCAATATCGTAACTTGTCAATTGTACTATAACTGCCACGGGCCTGTAAGAGAAGACGATTAATGTGTCACCATGAGTTTTAATTTCTAACAGAACATTTTATGAACATAAACTTAGTGTATCAACATCCATCCTGCAACCGCAAATGTACTGAACATCATTGAAAACGCTCCACCTGTATGGAACACAACACCATGACAACGTCTTAACAACCACAAACGATGCTGTTCAGCCCATCGTCGGCGTTCACGGCGATGTCTGTCAGTCAGGATGGGTCCAACATAAGGTGGCGTCGACACCGTGGAAGCACTGATCAAACCACGTCGGCCTTGGACAGCATTGGCGGTTCTGGCAGCCGGCAACGTTCGATCCCGAATATGGCGCCGAACAATGTCTCGATTTTGGCGAGGGGTGGTAACATGATGCCTGACCAGGACGTTGGCGGTCTCTTGTGGTTCCTTTCCAACGTTTGTTGGTACCTGTTGGCAAGTCTTATGATGGTGGAATGATGGCAACCAAATAGTCTGGCAATAATCCTGCTTTGATGTGCCAACCTGCAACATGCCATGCGCCGTTCTCGTTCCTCTGGTGACAATCTTGGCATTACAAAATAAACTTTACTTGCGGAGGTACAGCTACCAAAATGAGAACGGTGTTTTGACGACGATCATTGTTGTGATGTCAAATGTTTGCTCTCGTTTCATTGTTGTCTGATTCAGGATGGAAGTGATAAATCCAGGCTTCATCCATAACCACAACTTGTTGCAAGAACCTTTCTGGGCCATGTTCAAACAGAGTAAGATTATCACGAGATATTTTGTGCCTGGTGCCTTTTATATCACATGTCAAAATCTTTAGAACCTAGAGAGCTGATACTTTCGTCATTTCCAGTCTTTGTAGTGGCTGATGTCAAAGGTCTGTCAGAAAGGGGATCGTCCTCAGGCTCTATGATTACACTCAGATGTTTCTGAATTCACACAAGCTGCTCAACTGGCTGAAATTCTTGTGGAGATACCTGTCATCATCTAATGCCCACAACACACTATTGCTTATTACGCAGTTCCTTCTCAGAACTGATAAAATTAAATCCAAATAAAATTAATAGTATAAATTAACTCCAATACTATAGCTCAGGTAACCCTCCACTTAACTGTCCGTACAAGGGATTTTATTTAAAAAAACTATATTTATTGTCCCAGAAAATTTAGAAACATTATAATTTATATAGCATATCTTGCCAATGTCTGAAGCATATTTAAAAAACTGTCAAGATTTTAACAGCAGTCATCGGAGCTTTCGAGAGTTTACAGAGTTACATGCCGTTATAGCATACACGTACATGACAGGTTTGATCATTCGAGACGTTTCTGGGACTTTCTGAAAGACTAGCAGAAAGAATACGTGGGTGTCTGACTGGTTCAAGTTTGTTTGCCATGAACAGATTGAATACGCGAGATCCTACTGCAGATATCTTTCAGTACATTCGACAGATACAATATATAGTGACAATATTCACACCATTATAGAGTCTATCAGCATATAATCTAAGGCCTGTTTAAAACTGTATATCTAGGTAAGATCAAATGATGGCAAAATCCAGCCCATGTATGAACACTGCCTCAATCAGGAGGACCTTGCTGTTGAATTGGTTTGAATTGGTCTTCAGCAAC